TTCATAAGCCAAAAATACCACGAGCACACCTTCCCTTCACCGTATCCCTCAGTACCTTTTTCCCTTCTTTCAGCCTACAAGTATCCCACCCCGTCCCAAATCCAAAACTCACAGAATTTTGTAACAGTAAATTTATCGTGTGAATGGATTCAGGTGCAACGAGTTTCATGCTCAAAGCAAATGGAAAACTTCAACCGTATTGGATGTCAATGCTTCGAGTGTGGCTCGAGTCATTGCAGGTGGCGTTCGAAAAAGACGTAGAGAAGGGCTCTCTGGATGCGGTCACAGGATTGCCAGTTAAAGGGAAGGTTGGTTGCTTTTACTGGAAGTGATCGTCGTACCGAATAGGACCCTTTTATGGAATCAGCCTGAAAGAAATAACATAGTTATAGACGCTGGGGAGGGTATGACTGGTGATTTGGAGGGCAAGAACTGCTTGCAAGTGCTTATACTGCGGAAAGAAATTTCGTAGGAGACGGTGTTTTTGTCCGTTCCGGCGAGTCTTGTACTGAATACTTGATGTGGAAGGGATGGAATGGTCGGGAGTTGACCTGAAATTACTCCCTCGAGCTAGAAATTCGAGTAATGGCATCCTTATGTTATCCTACTAATTCCTGTGACTTTTTTTATCCTTTTCTTTTTCTTATTCTTCTCCCTTACCTGCTGTAACATTGCCTGATTCAATATATTGCAGCCGAAACCGGCTCCTGAATCCCTGATTGCTCGACGTCTAATCTGCTCCTATGGTCGCACATTCAACTGCACCGGTCGGGTAAGTTGCAAAATAACTAATTGAAAGCATTTAATGGATGCCATTTTCTAAGTGAATTATGAAAAATGTGTCTGTGTGGAGCAGGGTAGACGTAATACTCCTTCGAAAATTGCCTTTCTTTTTCCCATAGTGCTGGGATTTCTCGAAAAATCATTTAGCAAAGTGTTATGGTCATATATTCTTCACTTGTTTCGATTATAACTACTTTAGAGAAAAGGTAAACGATGCGATGATTGTAGGGAATTTCTGTGTGATTTGCTGGAAAACCTTGAGAGTGTGGTCTAGGCTGACCGTTTGGGTGGAGACAGTCAACTTCTGTGCTTTGCTCATGAATGCGTTCCTCCTTAACGGGCGGTAAAAAGGAGGTGTGGAGGTGATGGGTTCGGTAATGTAGCTGACTGTCTCCGCCCCCACCTCTACACACCCGTGCATGTGGACTATAGCTTTCACAGGGCGTTCAACTCCCATGAGTGATTTTATAATTTTCAGATCGGTCACATCAAAATGGTCGAGAACGGAATAATTCGACCAGAGAGCTTTTACAATTACCTGACTGCATGGTACAACGTTGACAACATGATGTACTATGTATCACAAGCATCATTCCAACCAGTGCCTCCCATATGGCAAATGGGACCGGTGAGTGTTGGAGGTTTCTCCCATTGGGTATCTAGCGCTGGGCCCAAGCTCAGCCTGCAACTATTCTTCGACAATCAATCCATATCTGAGGGCTCCAAGAGGCGTGACTGTGAAAGCGGCGAGGATCCAGGCGAAGGAGAACCAGGGACGTTGTGTAAGCAAGGCGAGTCGACGCGTGGAAACGCAGTCATGCCTTTTGCCCCCCTCTCATATGTGTGGTAGGAAAAGGTCTCTTTATTTGCTTGATTTCCCTCCCCTTCCCTCCTAGTTTGGTCGTACCATATTAAGAAAGAGGGTAAGGTTTGGGAGGGGAGGCCCATGGGCCAAGATGTAGAGAGGCACATGAGATTAACTAAGCTCTGCCGTGGTAGGCGGAGGTAAAACGCTTACGCGGGTGGACTACGCCTGAATTGAGTGAAGCCGGACGCAAAAATTCGAAAAATTCGTGGGTTGGTTTCGGAGTAGCGCAGTGACCAGAAGGAAATGAATTGAGGAATGAATTCAGGAAATGAATGGATTCAAATCGAAAATGAATTCGATTATTCCAGGGGGACGGTGTCGTTCCACCAGCTCGTCCGCTGCTCTACTGCCAGATTCCGTTCTACCAGACCAATCTCACTGACACACCTGTTACAGTGAGTATGATCGAGGTACGGTAATATATCAACATCCATTATTAGCTCCATATCATACAGACGCCATCGTATGGGCAGAGTCAGGTCTATCATTGCGCGTTTCTTATTCGTGCGCCTTCCTTTTCTATGTATTGGAAAATATTGGCGTAGCAATGTGGAAGGCGCAAGAGTGAGCTTGACTCCGCCCCTGCGATAAGCATGGACTGTCCTTCAACTTTATATAGGGCTTCTTTTCTCAGTCGAACCTTTCAGGAAGTTCGTGCTGTGTGTGACCAGTACACGAATAAAGGCCTTCCCAACTTCCCCAACGGTCTTGCTTTCACCTTCTGGGAACAATATCTCTTCTTGAGGTTGGCTTTTATCAAATCCATTGGATTACGATGTTCAGAGCAATCACTGTATTTCCTTTTCAGATGGAATCTTTTCTGCGCTATTTGTATCATCGCATTCGCTGTATTTGCCGTTATCTCACTGCTCATGTTCAACCCATGGGCAGCCGCAATGGTAACGAAAGCTTGCAATTTATTATTTTGAGATTATAATGTACCGTAGCCTCAATATTTGGGAGTATTTATCAAGCTTTTTGAATAATAGAGACAAAAAAAGACCTGGCTACAGGCTGAAGATCTAATCTCTTGCAGGTGATGGTGATCGTTGTAATAGTCACAATCGAATTGGGTGGATTCATGGGAGTGTTTGGCATTAAAATGAATCCGATCTCTGCTGTTACCCTGATCTCAGCTGTAGGCATAGGTAAGTAAGCCATGTAAGCCACGGCAATCTAATCAATATCACCGATTCTATTTGTAGGTGTCGAGTTCACGGCTCACGTCGTGTTAGCCTTCTTGACTTCACTGGGGTCGGTAGACGATCGTCTTGAATCATGTCTGCAGCACATGTTTGTACCGGTGTTCCACGGTGCTATATCAACCCTGCTAGGTTTGTTAATTGTTTGCTTGAAGAGCATTTTGCAAAGGGATAATCGGTGGGCAATGAGTGGCAGACGGGAGGTGCGGGGCTCATATCGGGGCCATTTAATGGTCCATAGTGCTTTCTCACAGCTCTGTTGGCAGCTTGTTGATTTATTACTGTAACCCTTGCGGTATAGCGACTGCAGTTGAGACACCGTGCAGTCGAGCTGTGAAAGTCTGCTTACACAATTTGGCTGCAAATGGGCATGCTACAAAGAATTTTGTCAGATAGGATCAAGAAAGACAGGGGTGCCATGCGCCGCTGCGACTATGTCATGTCATATCCGCTTATCTTTTCACCTCTTTCTCGGACTTTCGAATGCGTATAAAAGCCCCTTTATTATTCGACGAAAAGGCGCAGACAGGAGGCTTGACGTAGCAGCGCCGCCGCC